GAAATAATAATAATAATAATAATAATAATAATAATAATTTCATTTATAAATAAATTTATAAATGAATATTCAATTTATTTATTTTAAAAAAATAATATAACTATAATGAACAGTGTTAGAATTGATTACTGTGAACAGAAAGGGGAATCTTTCTGTGTGATCTGTTAAAGGAACAACCGACATACATTATTTTGTATGTCGGTTCTTCACACCTTCGTATCTAGGTCGAAAATGATATATACGAGTGAACGAATGTTGCATACATGAACTTTTACGAGATATTATCGGTCTCGTTAGGTATATGGACCTTATATGAGAGAAAAATTAAAAAAGAAAAGTCTTTTTCTATACTTATTTTCATTTTATTTTTTTTTTTCCTTAAAACGTGTAGGGGAAAGTATACCCAAACAGACAATGAGACACTGGGCTAGGAAAGTGACGACCGAATTAAATATACCGATAAAGTCGAATTATGATATATCGATTTCGAAGTGATGTTTCACTCCTCGGTAAAATCGAAACATTTAGCGACCATATTAATCTACAAAGGTAATTAAATGATAAAATATTACATTAAATTATAATTTATAAGTATGGGAGCATCATCAAAACCTTATTTTGTATTTATAATTTTTTCTAGTCTTTCCAAGATGTGATAATCTCTTGGAAAGTCGCGACAGAAAATGACTATTTTTGTCATTATGAAAAATCAAAATTTGATGTTCTTACATAAGATCATTTATGAGTTTATAAATTTTAATCGATAATCCGATAATAGAGTGTACATGTGTTCTTAACTTACTGCCGCTCTCTCTTAAGACGTTTATCCGCATATATAAGATGCAGAATCCATTGCAAGTGAAAGGGATATTGCTCAAGATTTGACCCAAATAGAAAGTAATTGTCTGGATGAAACCAATAGTAGTAGTAAAAAGGTTTCCAAGGATTGCTAACCACCTTACAAAGTAGTAATATTAATATATAACAACCGAACGTGCATGCCTTTGACATCATGACATTCGAATAGCATAACAGTGATATACGTACGTAGGCTTGTATTTATATAACACAACTTAATTACGTTGTAGCTGGTCTTATTCTTCGATCAGAATAGTCTTAGAGAATATTGATCTCATTACTATATTTATATATATATTTACGTACCAACCCTATAGCATCATGAGGTGATTTTGATTGTGTTTTAGCAGTTGTTAAGGAGAAGAGAAAGAGTCACCGAGCTGAAGCCACTTGTGTTCTTGGGAAGTGGCTTCGGAGGGTCCCATGAGAGCTTTCAAAGCGCTTTTGGCTCTGTTGTAAGATCTACGTTGCCGAATGCGTCTGAGCACAGCATGTTTGTCCAAGCTTTGAGAAGATGACAACGAAGACTTCAACTGGAGTTGGCTCGATATCATACTCTCTTTTCCCGCTCCACACTCCTTATTGTACCCTAACTTATCAACATTCTCCTTCTCTCCCTCTGTCAAAGCTGATTGAGATCTGGATATCGTGAAAGCCATTTCTCTCTCCCAAGGAGTGGAGATATAGAGAGATATGATGCATGAATGAGGTTCGCTTATATAGGGCTGGCGCTGGCAAGTGGTTTCACTTTCCTTCAGCCTCTGGTTTTACTCAAACAGTGGTTACGCCGAAACAATGGTGGAACAGACAAAGAGCGCGTGGCAAAGGGATTCAGATTGAGACCACCAAGGTTAATTCAGTGAGCTGTCATACGTAAACGATGCCACATTTTGTTTCTCCTACGTGGCTGCTTATGCTGCTGCAAAACCGATAGCCTGCATTGGTTTTGGAGCATAAAAATTGTAAACATATTATTCGTTTATAAATCAAGTAGAGGCGGTACGTAATGGATTGAATCAATTTTCGTATGGCAGAAGAAGGTGCGTAAGTGATTCTATATATTATTTACACTTTGTAGTTTATGGCATAAGAAACAATTGATAAGCGAAAATTTGTGGCAAATAAAAGAGCATACGTATAAAATGTATGGATGAGCCCAGTTTAACTCTTGTCCAGAAAAGCATGGAAAACAAAAGAGGGTTATGTTAACACACTAATTACTGCTAAAAGTAACTTGTCAGATAGCATACAAGGATGTGGTGCCACGAACTAAAATTGGTTACTTGGATAGATGATAGATCTTTGAAAATGACAACTTCGAACAATAGCAACAGCCAGGCAAGCCGTTTTCAAGTAAACCAAGGGCTATCCCCGTTTGTACTTTTTTCACTTCACACTATAACACCCAGGTCAAGCAATTTGCCAAAAATTCCTATCGATACACTTTTCTTGATATTTTTTTTATTAATTGAAATTTATAAAAAAAAAATACACAACCATAAAAATTGTTAAATAAATTATTAAATTCATCAAATTTTATGATTTTTAATGAATTTCAATAAAATTGTTCAAAAGAATGTCAAAAGATACTCCTTACATCCCATTTTGTTTTACGATTAAGATTTTAACATAAAACTTTAGTAGTATAATTAATATATATAATTTTGGGAAAAAGTATTATGTAATTTCTTAATATATTCTTAAATATTTTGAATTATCACTAACAAAAGTATTAAAAATGGAAGATAAACGCATTAATAAAAAATGTATTAATAATAATTAAGGTATAATGTGAAAAAAAAATATTTAGTACTATATTAATTTTGTAAAACATAATTAAATTGAAAAAAAAAATAGAATTGTCAAAATGCCTAACTAAATGGAACGAGAGTCCTTTAGTTAGGTGGACTACTCCTAACGAATTTACCATCAAAATTAACACGAGCTCTTTGAAACATTCAAGTAAGGTTTTGGTGGTTTTCTTCGAAATCATATCAGGCAATCAATTAAAAGACTTGTAGGATATTGTTGTGTCTCAATTAATATGTATGAGAAATTGTTGAACATTTATCATGGTCTTCGTATTGCACATGAGATGGGATACAACTTTGTTATTAATTTGTGAGTTAGACTCAATGAATGAGTTATTGCTTATCAAGCAAGAAGTGTTGCTATTTCACCCGTATGCTCCTCTAATTTCCAAAATTAGAGTCTTTCTCGGTCTCTCTTTGGAACATCTCTTTTAGACATACTTATAGGGAGAGAAACAAATGTGCTGATTGGTTGGAAAAAGTAGGAGTCAATTCTTTTGATGAACTTTTTGCTTTGTATGTCCGAGACAACTATCTCTTTTTTTTCCTTGCGGATGCTATAGGAATCTTATATCTGATGAGGTTTTTGCAAATACTCCACTTGGCAAACGGACCAAGTTTCGATGTAGTATTTAAGTATCATCCTCAGGGAATTGGGAGATTAGTAATTCTTACTCTAATGATTAATAAAGAGATGTTGATATAATTTGGAGTAAAATAATGTGAAGTAAAATTTTAGCGAAAATGTAAAATTTTTAAGACAATTATATAAAACAAGGATTCCGATCTGAAAAGGAGTTGATCCTCATTCCCAAGTGATCCAGCCTCCCAATCTTCGTTCCCACTCTGTTCTTCCCGGCCCCTTCGTGTGCTCTTGACCTTGTTTTTGCTCTGTTTTTTTTTTCTCTTCTCCAAAAGTTCCTTCTTTCCCTTTTATATTAGCTTCAAAACAGGGGAGGAATTGTAATTTTTAAGTCCACCGCTGCAGCTGTAGAATCACAGCTATGACTGTGGAGAGTTCTTCAAGGTGAAGTAAGCTTCACAGTTGCAGCTGTGGTTTCACAACCATAACTGTGGAAACTCCTTCAAGCTTAAGGAACCTCCAACGCTGTAACTGTGAATTTCACAGCTATGGTTGTGACTCTCTGGTGCTCTCTCTCAATCATCAGTGTTCCATGGCTCAAGCTGTGAGCCTAGATTTTCACGTCTATAGCTCCAGAACCACAATTGTCGCTGTGAAATTTTGTCTTCCTAAATTTTCTGCAAAAAATGAGGGAAATCATCATTAATTTTCTACTACTCTTCTATCTTTTAATATAAACTTAATTCTTCCTAATTAGAGTTAAATTATCATATATATATATATATATTTATATTTATAATTTATAAAAAAAGAGTACCAAAAGTTGAATGTAATTCATGAATAAAAGACACTCGACAATATCCTAGGGATAGTTAGTTTTTCTTCCTCCTTTTGTTTTTGTCTTTTCCATTGATAAAAAAATGGAAGGAGCGGAGAATGACCTCGGACGCGCATTACACGACATCAGCTCGACACTTAAATAGATCATAACCGATCTCAGGGGATCTCCACTACAAGAATTTCGCGGATTAGCGAGGGAATTTAGCGAGGGATTTAAATCCAAGCTATTTCCTCGGTAATTAGCGAGGGACTGGCGAGGAATACAGTTCCTCTCTAATCCCTCGCTAATTAGCGAGGAAATAGCTTGGATTTAAATCCCTCGCTAAATTCCCTCGCTAAATAGGATCATTTTGCGACCAACCTTCATCTCCTCGCAAATCCATCGCTATAGCTAGTGCTTATTTAGCGAGGAACTTACGCCCTCGCAAATCCCTCGCCAAATTATGAGCCAAATTATAAAACGAATTTTTTCATCTAGCGAGGGAGTTTTCTTGTCGCAAATCCCTCGCTAATGATAGCCCTCGCAAATGCCTCGCAAATCCGTCGCAAATTAGCGAGGGAAAAGGTTTTTCGCTAATCCCTCGCAAATAAGAGATTTGGTTGCTAATAGAATTTGAAATTCAAGTATTTGTAAAATTTCTTGAAATAGTATGATTTCAAATTCTCCCAAAAAAGTAAGAATTTGAAATTCCTCATATTTTTTTCTTTTTATTTTACTTATATATATTTTATCTTATTTGTTATCTCTTCATTTTTTTTAATTATTGAATATTTGAAAATATTTTTAAAATTATTAAATATTATCTAATATTAATTTTAAAAATTATTAAATATTATCTAACATTATCTATTAAATAAAACTATTGATTAAAAAATAAAGTATACAAATTTTTAGACTTAATTTATTGAATAAGAAATTCAATATATAACGTAATTACATTCATTAAATAACTCTTTTAAGAGTTACTTTTGATGTAACTGAATTTTCACTCATATATATTTTTTAAAACACACACACACACACACACACACACATATATATATATATATATATATCATCATAAATTTTAAATATAATTTATATGTTTACAATATGAATTTAGTCCGTATATGTTTTGTTTTCTTAATTATGATAATTTAAAATATTTTTGTTTATTTTGATTTATATTTGAATTTAGTCTCTGTAAGTTCATGTTTTCTCAATTTTAGTTCTTTAAATTTTAATCCATATAAATATGAATTTTTCAAATTTTAGTTCTTTAAATATATATTATAATTTTCTTTCACTTTAGTTCATGTAACTTCGTACTAACAACTAAAAATTAGAAAGAAAAAATATAAAGTTATATTGACTAAACTTTGAAAAAAAATATTATAAAGATTGAAATTGAGAAAGGATAATCCTATAAGGATTAAAAATAATTTTAAAATATTGGAAGGATCAACATTAAAAAACTTTAAATTAATATTTAGCTTATATTTCATATATAATATTTGAAATATTAAAGTAAGCATAAATTATATATATATTAATCAATTTTATCAAGATATTTGTTAATTATCATATTATATATAAAGGAAGTTTTTTTTTCTTAAACACCTATCATGAGAGAATAATGTATATATATAGATAAATTAGGAAGGTTTTGCGAGATACTAGCGAGGGATTCGCGAGGAAACTCAAAAGATATGTTGTGAAGGTTTCGCGAGGGAACTCAATCCATATGCTTTGATGGATTTGCATGGGATTACCAAGGGATTTACGAAGGACATATTTGCGAGGGATTAGCGAGGGATTTGCGGAGGACATATTTGCGAGGGGTTAGCGAGGGATTTGCGAAGGACCTCAATTGATATATTGCTACAGTGTTGCGAGGAATTAGCGACAATATCGCGATGGATAATTGCGACGGAGTGGCGAAAGATTAGCGAGGAAATAATTAAACAATATTTTGCGATGGAGTAGCGACAAAGTAGCGAAGGATATCTTGCGAAGGTTTTGCGACGTTTTAGCGAGGAAATATTAAATGCAATTAGCGAGGGAATTTAGGTTCTACATTTGCGAGGTGACAGCGAAGAATTAGCGGCACAAATTTGCGATGGACCAGCGAAGCTGGTTGCGAGGGAAAAGCGAAGGAATGTAGCGAGGGAAAAGCAAAGGAATGTAGCGAGGGAATTGCGAGGGATATGCATCCGTCGCTAATTAGCGACTTGAATTTAGCGAGGGAATAGTCCTTCGCAAATCCCTCGCTAGTCCCTCGCCATTTTGTTTAGCGAGGGATTTGCGAGGGATCTTTCCCTCTCTAATTCGCAATTTTCTTGTAGTGACCTTCTAGTTGTTATTTTCTTTTTATTTTCTTATTTTCCTTTTCCCTTATAAGCTTCATTTGTATTTGATCTTTTACCACTTGAATAGGTGTAAGAGGATGTAACACAAATTTCTTATCTTTATGGGTGAGGGATATTTCA